GTTGGCGGCTGAGCGGAGCATGTTCCTCCGCATAAAGTATCGAAAAACAATTGACATGACGAGGCACCGATGATGATCAGAGTCACGCATGTTCCTGCCGATAGGTACATGATGGGGAACATTGCCAGCCATTTTGTCAATCTCTCACCTAAATTGATCACGAATAAACATTCAATATCAACTTGTAAATTCACAAGTAAATCGAGAATGTTACGTTATGTTAACGGACTTACCGAAAGTTGCGCCGCAGAGCTGAAGATATCGGCTGTAGCGCATTCCGGTTTCGATTGATTCATGGAGTTGCACCAATAAGTATAGAGTGTAAAGCTGCCATATGAAGCCCAATGTCAAGGTTATGACCCCCCAAGACCTGGAAACAACAAAAAGCATAGGTAAACATGTCACTTTTAGCTGCAAATTTCATACAACAAAGATCGAATCGAAAAGCTCGTCGTCGATTACGTACCACCCTAGGATTGTGAAAGCAACAGGGAGCACAAGGGCTTGAATACCAATCCCAGAACAGAGAGTATGAAACGCAGCGTAGTATGCATTTCCATTTCTCGACTCAGTGATGGGAAGCCAAGCATCATGAGGGTCAAGCCTGGTAAGCTTAAGAGCCCTTCTAATTGGACTTCCCAACGGAGTAATAAAGCGTGGGGTTCGGATCCTCGGGGTAACATTTCTCGATGTTTTGGCGGTCGCGGGTTGGATATGATCGTCCCCGGAAAGAAGCGGCGACCGAGTGAGTGACGGAGAGTGAAATTGCGAAGGAGGAGCCGATATCGGAGGCGTAGCTGCAGCCGAAGCCGGTCTCGGTGTTCCGGGGTAGGAACCTATTTCATTAACATCAACCATTTTGGTTTCCCAAATATGTTCTCACCTAATTATTGGTAATTGATTTCCCCTGATGTTCCATCACAAATATGAACTAATATATAGACTTCTTGGAACATAGACTTAATGGAGTAATATGAATATGGTTTACTGGTTACTGACGAGGAGTTGTTGATTTTAGACAAAATAGTTATAAATATTCTACTACTAATATTCAAAAGGCAGGAAAATAAACTACTGTAGCAGCCAGCCGGGGCTCAATTATTCGTATATTTTAAATCATATCCACTTTCTTAACTGATACTTCAACATGATGCTTTAGCAGCGCCGGTCAGTGAAAGTAACCATCCAATCTAGTTTTAGGTCAACTTACTACACACGAATAAAAATAAGACATACACTAAAGATAAAATTTATCTTGATTTAACATTTACGTATAAAAAAAGTACAAATTCATTATAAACATAAAAATCACAAAAATTATAATACATAATATACTAAAAAATTGTTATATATATCAAAACCTTATTTTTTTTTGTTGCTCTCCCGGTTTAAAGGTTTTACCTTGATTAATTCGGATCGATCCGCGTTGTACACATAGTTTTGGTGGGTGAGATTCCCCGCATGAATTTTCTTCATACACAATGACTCAAACTTAGGACATTGCTTATGCGATATCAAATTGCTTACCACTTGAACCAACCCATATTGGTCTAGTGAAATAAGACATTAGATCTTTTAAGCAAGGTCAGGAGTTCGAATCATAGTGATTGTGAATAGAGTAAACTGTGTTGGGATCACTCTTACATCTGCAATTCACGATCCGGATTAATTGATCAATAGATCGGATAGTGATGATTATACCAAAACCTGATATATTTTAAAACTCTTTAAACGTCCTTATAAAATGTCTATAACGTAAATATAAAATTATATCGTGAAACCTTTAAATAACCCTGAAGTTGGACAAAAAGGAAACTTGATAGTTGTTTTGCTTTTTGTTAATCTAATTCTGGGATTGACCATGAATTAGTCCTTCGAGAGAAACATATTCTTTTAAAAAATCAAAGTAAAAACCCTTTCATCGTTGAAACTTGAATAATATATATATATTTTAAAAATAACATTTTTATAATCACAACAACTAAAATTTCCAGTTAAATTAACCATGCTTTTCAGAGCATCCAAGAAAATACAGGAAAATGAAGAAAATAATAGCAGTTTCACACTTTCATCGAGTTCAATTTGCTGCTTTGTAAATTTATGGAATATAAAATTCTTTAGTAACTTTGAAAAACTAAATAATACAGCAAAAGGTGTGGGAATTTAAACGTGTAGTCAATGTTGTCCACAGTTTCCTGATGCGTTCATAACAAGTAAAGATGACATTTTTGAACGAAATGCATGGGATATATTATAGTATTACAATATTGTTGAAGAAAACAAGATTTCTATGATAAATTGTCAGATTTATTGTTTTATAATCTAAGAAGTGGCTAATAAGTAAATTAGATTGAACTTATGTTATATATTGTCAATTATTATGTTTGAATTCATTTGTTCAAACGTCCAAGTCCTATAGTACATTAAATGTAGGGTAAATGGATTGATGTAAACATACAACAATGGTGTGAGTGTGCGTGTAATATATTATATACACAAAAGGTGTAATTCATTAAATCAAAACACTAATTTTGAAAATTGTTTAATTGCTTGATTCTCATTGATGATTCATTAGGTTAAAAGTTTCCAATTGTTCATAATGTGAACTCCCTATAAATACCGTGTTAACCTACTAGGTTAAACACAATTGAAAACAACTCAAAAACTATTCAAAAAAAAGTTATCCTCAATTTTTTTGGTGATGGACGAAGACAATGAATAGTTCGTGATCTCGACGGTTGTGTTACTGTACGCTGATCATCTCGTTGTTGTATCCTACGAGATAGACGACCAAAAATCTCAGGCACGGAGGAGTGATCGAAAATTTGTCTTAAGGAAATTGTGTAGTTGCAGGCCTTAACTCGGTTCCAATCATTGATTCTATACTCCTTCGTTTTGTTTTCATTATTATTTCATTGTAGCGTCTCGAATTGTTATACTTCTAACAGTTGTCTGAATTGAATATAATTGGAGTGTTTTAATTATATTTTTCAATCTCTAAGAAAGATAAGAGGATTGATGAATTACACCCATAATGGATCAAAATGGCTTTTTAAACTTATTTTTATTCGTTTTTAATAAATAAATTTGGTTAAATTATGTAATTACATGCTGGTACGTATGATATTGTTTTCTTATATTTATTATGTGAAAGTCAATTTATTTGATTGATTTCAGACCCTGACATTTATTACGTAAATATATCTTCTTTGAACTCTGACAAATTTCACAAGGTTTTGTTTTCCTAAAATAAATGTTGTTAAGTTTAAATGCACAACCTCATTTTTAACAATCTCATAGTATCATACCATCATAAGGACTAAAAGTGAAAATATTATCAAATTCAAGGATTAACTTTGATAAAAATAAATTTAAAGATTAAATAAAAAAAAAGACAGAAGTCAGCAAGTAAAAATTGCATGTGGAATGGGGGAAAAGTTGATTTATTTATTTTACGATAATAGACAAAAGAATAGCTGTTAATTAATCAGGAGAAAACAAGGAAGGGCAGTTCTCCTAAAGGAAGAAGCCAATATTACCAACGTGGAGCAGATGTTAACTAATAATCCCTACATGGTAAAGAATTAATGCTAAATGAGTTGGTACGTCTGCTTCGGCCCCGACTCAGTTTGAACCCACCGGTCTTCACCAAACACAGTTTCGTCAACGGAAAATGCCTGATTATATTGCAGAATGCAACTTGCAGCAATTTTAGTCACAGCTGTGTAAGCCATGAAACCTGAACATGCATACCTTCCATGGGACTAATACCCAGGAAAATTCCAACCTGAGTTTTTCTTCTTCTTCTTCTTCTTTTAATCCTTGAAGTTTGTCTCTTCTGCCCATCAAAACATTTTATTCGTGTGCGAAAAGAAAAAAATAATAGTTATTTAACATCAGCAAGTTGTACTGTGTTCTGAATTGACAGGTCCTGGAAGGTGGTCGTGCCATTTTTATTTTTCAATTATCAGACACATTTTTGGCATATGCAGTTGGGTCAATTTGAAACAACGGTTCTAACTTTCCACTACAATACAAAGATATGGTGTGGGTGATGATGTTGTTAAGATAAAGGGAAGCTCAATTGTGGCAACCGTTGGCTTGTTTCTTGCTGATGGGGATACGATAATGATGAGCACCGGACATGATCAATGCTTTCTCCGACTCTTTACTTGCTTTTCATGGGCTAAGGACTTTTATGGTTCAATCTGTGGACTAACCCTGAATCCTGAACAAATACCCAATTTCATAAGACCAGTTAATGTTTTCCTGGGCTAATGTATCATATTTTGTTTCATTATCTGGGTCTTTATCTATGCTTGTTTAACATAATATGAATGCTTTGAAATAGGAAGACTGTGTCCAAAGACTGCCGATTTCATGGGATTCACTGTATACAGGGACGGATGTAGAATTTCGTGTAGGTGAAAACTAATATTTCAAGGGCGAAACAGATTTTCAATAGAATATACATAGAAAAAATTTAAAATACATGGTACTTTTATCCCCGCTCGTTCCATCCCTAACTGTATATAGTACATGGCGGATGTTTTGCAATGAATTCAGAGCAGAAATTTGATTTTGCCATATGTTCCTAAGTTTTTAGTTTCTACTGTCTCTGATAAGAGGAAGCACGTCAGTATCCAGAAAAAGTGAAAAATAAAAGAGGAAAGCAAAAATGGCATTGCCATGACTCAAACTAGAGACCTTCAGTGAGTTAGACTGACGTGATAACCAACTACACCACGACACTATTTTCCTTGGATTTTCTAAATAGTTTTTAAACCTAATAAATAACTTGTACAACTGTATTTATTTGACATGATGAATATGTCTTTTTTAGTATGAATTTGTTGATGTAATATTGTGGATAACAAGTTTGTTCCCTGTGTAGGTTCAAGAGAGACTAAGCATGAGAAACAAAAATTGTAATGTTTTGCATTATATACTTTAATCTTCTAAAGTGTGGATTGATTACAAGATGAAAAAAGAAAATTGCTTCAGATGTTGTATATTGGAAATTGTTGGCTCACTTCTTGCTGATAAAGATATGACGATGAGCAACTACTAGCGGCTACAGAAAGGATCAATGCTTTCTCCACTTCTTTACTCGGTTTCCTTTTGATAAGAGCAATTACATATTCCATAAAGTTTGCGTCGCAAGGCAAGGTGAGAACCCCATCTCCTGGTAGTCCAAACTCTTCTTCTGCCAAGTCGAATAGCTCCATCACAATTTTGTTCTTTAGATATTCCAAAGGAAGCAAAAATCGCTTCTGATCCACACTGTATACAACAGAGTGACCCTTTTCGACCGCTGATGACGTACTGCAATTGTTTGTTTCTGCATCCATGTTGGTTCCTGGTAATGTGATTCCTTTTTCTCTTGATTGATGCCAATTTCAACAAATATGTTGAAAATATGAGCCAATGGTGGTTCATCAACACCAGCTGGTGTAGCTTTTGCATTAGACGTGGTTGGTCAAGGACCACAATGGACCCTCCTCAACCATGAATTCTATACTATCTAGCTCCATCGCCTATCTATGTGCTTAACATTATCATTATCAGAGATTAAATCATATAAAACTTCTAAAGATGTAATAACTGATGCAATCATGCAAGAAAAATGTCCTGACATTGAAAGAGCTGCTGCTGATCCGGGCCTCATTTTAGAACAGAACTTGAAATTTAGGGTGCATCATAAAGCAGAAGGAACTTAACTTCCTGACATTGAAAGAACTTAACAGAGGCAAGCAATAACTGAAAAATGAAACATGTTTTGGTTAGAATCATTTTACAAGGAAACATCTTCTGTTGATACAATATGTATATCACACTCGACAAAGAAGTGGCTGTTGATCCGCATGTAGTTGATTGAAATAAGTATCTGATGAGCAGCGACACCTGAATAAAAATGTGATTGTGACCAAAAACTGGAAGACTGCGCATTTCATGTGATTCTCAATATATATTGTACGGCTGATGTTTTGCAAGGATTCAGAGCAGAAATTTGTTTTTCCCCTATGTTCCCAAGTTTATAGTTTCTGCTGTCCCTGATAACAGGAAATCCCAACATCAAAAGAAGTAAAAAGTGTCTGTATTCAGAAAACGTGAAAATAAAAAAAATTAAAATTTGGCGTCGCCCGGACTTGAACCGGAGACCTTCAGTGTGTTAGACTGACGTGATAACCAACTACACCACGACACCATTGCTTTTCGATTTGGTCTATATTTTATTAATATAATAAAAAACTTGTACAAGTGTATATTATTTAACATGACGAGTTTGTCTTTTTTAGTATGAATTTGTTGATTTAATATTGTGGATAAGAAGTAAGTTTCCTGTGTATGTTCAAGAGAGACTACGCATGAGAAACAAAAATTGTGATGTTTTGCATTATAAACTTTAATCTTCTAAAGTGTGGATTGTATATTGGAAATTGTTGGCTCATTTCTTGCTGATAAAGATATGACGATGAACAATGACCAGCGGCTACAGAAAGGATCAATGCTTTCTCCACTTCTTTACTCGATTTCCTTTTGATGATAGTGTAGACACTAATTTTTTGCCCAACAATACTATCCTCGTATTTCTCGGTAACAAGAATAACAACCAAGTCAAAATACTAAATCAAGGCATTTGAGTCCAAGTGGGACTCTAAAACTGAATAAAGGAGCGTTTCAGTTTGAATAGGACTCTACAAATCTATCTAAAAATAGCCAGTTTCATGGCTATAAATTGAGGCAAAAATAAGGAAGAAAAAAAAGAACCAGAGTGTGCGAGAGAGATCCATTAGCAGAAGATGAAGATTTTCGTCAAGACTCTCAAGGGCACTCACTTCGATATCGAAGTCAAATCCGAAGATTCGGTAGCTGACGTAAAAAAGAACATAGAAACAGTTCAAGGATCAGATGTTTATCCTGCTTCACAACAAATGCTTATCCATAAGGGGAAAGTTCTTAAAGATGATACGACATTGGCTGAGAACAGTGTTGCTGAAAATAGCTTTATTGTCATCATGTTGACAAAGGCTCCTCAGACAAGTACACCATCATCGGCACCAGCCCCGGCTCCAGCGTCGGTACCAGCTCCGGCTCCAGCAACAGTTTCTTCTACACCTGTTGAGACTTCAGCAGTTGCTGCACCTGTATCTGAATCTGCACCTCTGGCATCAAATACCACTGCGTCAGAAACTGATGTTTATGGCCAAGCATCTTCTGATCTGTTAGCAGGAAACAACTTGGAGGGAGCAATCCAACAAATTCTTGACATGGGTGGAGGAACCTGGGATAGGGATACCGTTGTCCGGGCCCTTCGAGCAGCTTATAACAACCCTTATATATATATATTTAATTAAATTTTTATAATTTTCAATAATTTTTCTACTTTCTTTGTTTTATTTATTTTCATTTTTCTTCATCTAACATGCTTTTTGGCTTCTTAAGGGTACACTTTTAAATCTATCGGAGGTAAGTAATTTGAATCGGGTCTTTTAAATTTTAATTTAAGTTTCCAATTTTCGCAATTAAAAACAACAGACAAACTAATTGGTACCGAAAGGGCGGTTCAAGGGTGCTAATCCTTCCTTGACCGTAACCGACTCCCGAACCCGACACGTTTCTGGTACGTCGCAGATCAGGTAAGATGGTGTCCGGCCCACCAAGATTCGTTTTAAAGTGGTCGGTGGCGACTCTAACCCAATCAATTCTAGTCGAAGCCCAATTCCGGGCCCGACCGAAAGACGGTTGCGACAGCTTGGCGACTCCGCTGGGGACCGGTAAGTGAGTCAGGCCAGAATTAATTTTCGGTTGTCTTTTTATGCGAAGATTGTAAATTTTAATTTTAATTTATTTATTCGATTCCAATTATTTACCTTTGATTATTTTTCCAAGTAAATAGTTGTACTAATATTTTTTCAATGATTTCAGATTTTCGAAAAGTTTCCATCTCTGGCTCTATACCCGAGCTCCGAACCCTTTTAAGTGGGGGTGAAAGCGACGCATTCGTGTGAATTTATTCACCGCATATGCCTAGCAAGTAGCCTTCGGGATTCATATACCTTATGTCTTCGTGTGAATTTATTCACCGTGCGGGCATAAGGAATGTTTCCTCTCGAGTTAACTTAGTCTACACAAGCCTGTGATGGGTTTAGGACTAAGGGTCTGGTAAGCCAAGGGGGCACCAGCAAGGAGAACTCGGGTACCGTGTTTTAGAACCTAAACTGGGAGACTTTGGGAGTTAGAGCCTACCCCAAAACCTCATTTCAAACCCTAGGATGCTGGAATTTCCTGCTTTACTTTCTGTTCAAAGCATGTGAACTAGAAATTTATGCGGTTAGGACTTGTTCAAAATCAACATGCGGGATAGAGATCATGTCCGGGTAGGAATAATAAGCATGTGGGGTAGGACTTTTCATTTTCATTTTAATTTTTTTTATTATCCTTGTCTCACTAACTTTTTTTTTCCTCCTTTCATTTTCTGTTCTTTTGCATTTTTTTTGATCATTCGCATCATTAAAACGAGGTGTTGATCCACCAAAAATGTGTTTGTTAAACATAAATAATCTGCATTAATGGACAAAGGAGTTATAATACAAAGAGACAAAAAGCTCAGAAGTCCAACCGGGATTAAAGAATACTTAGAGGCAAAGGTTGCAGGGGCAAGACGAGGAAATGGTTATTAACCCGGAGAATCCTTTCGAAAATTACGAGAATAAGATGGTGAAACCCTAGCTAAGCTAGAGACCATTATTGATGAATTCCAAAAACAAGTCGACAAACTTCGGATGGAAGGCTCCAAAGATACTTTCGTTTGGAACGAGCTCGGCATAGAGTGAAGGCCGGAGATGCAGTCATTCGAGACCTTTTTTGGGGCAAACAACTCGTCACCCGCACAAGTTTAGCCAAAGGAGCTGGAACGGTTCGACAGGATATTCAACCGGTGAAGAAGCGGAAGACGAATCAACCTGCCAGAGGCTGTGCGGGATCTATACCATCAAAAAGTTTTTTGTCTCTTCAGACGTAACATTTTTGTCCCCAATAAGGATTATTCAGAATAATAGGCACATTTTTCGGATCAATGCCTCGGACATTTCATGCTTCATGCATTTAAACATTTTGCATATTGTTTTCTTTACATTCACATTAACTATCTTCACATGATTCATCAAAAAATGAGAACACTTCGACCCTATGACATATAAGGAGCTTTACCAACAGTTGTTTGACGCACATGTGGTGTCACCATATCCAGAGAAATCCATGAAGCCCCGTACCCCAGGTAGTATGATGAGAACGCTCATTGCAGCGGAGTCCCAGGGCACACTATCGAGAATTACTCCACAATCAAGAGAATCATACAGAAAATACGTAACAAGAATCGGATCGACTTCAACAACTTGGGGGCATCCAAGTGAGGAAGACCATTTCATCATTTGAGCCATTCTGTTTGGATTTGTTTTTTCATTCTTTTCTCAAGTTTTTGCAAGGACTTTTAAATAAATTTATGTTTTTTAATGATGGCGAGCAATAAATCACATTTGCAAACTTGCAATTCTTTGAATATCATTTGAATTAAGAAACTCTGTTAATGGTCCAAAGTTACGGATCTTTGACAAAGTAACATGATTTTAAAAAAAAAGAACTTTGACCTTATCCAAAATATACCCTCAAACACCATACCATGCTCTTGCAATTAACCAATGTAACCTTTTCCTTTTACAAGGTGCGAACAACATGGGGCATCATTTGCATATGACCATTACTATGCTTTTTATTTAGGACGTTCAATGACGATGATGATCTTTACAAATGAAAGAGTCGAGTAGGTGAATCCAGTTTAGGTCAGTTGTTTGAAAATTGAACTCTAAAGATGAGATTCCTTGACTTTCAAAAACACCTAGACTATGACAGGTTCTTCTTGACAATCTTAAGAAATTAAATCCGTGAAAACTGAGTTATTCCGCTAAGGCAATTGGTTATAGAGGAAACTTGAAAGCCCTGGCCTTATGAGTAGATTACGTTCAAACCATGACATTGCTCGGACACTTGGCAATTCGGTGTTTGCTCCACTGCTCTTGTCAGGCTGAAGACTCTGTGATGAGATGAACCCTTCAGTTAACTTGATAACTGTGATTATAATATTAAGCTGTCCCTCTAAAGCAATTGGTTAAACGCCCCGGCTTTATGGATTCAGCTAGTCAGATAACGACAAATTAAATCAAATTTATCTAAGCAATAAATTTTCGGTAAAATGGACTAAGGGAGTTAAGGAACACCTGTTATAGTCAACTACACACGAGCACTCAAGAATTTCATTTTTAGACCGATGTTTTTGCACTGCCTTTGTTAGAGGAGCCTACAAAGCTTGAACAAATAGAAGATTTCAGAGGACTGAAATAAAAGGTCTAGTAAGTGATCATGCTAGTTGCGTCATTTTGTCCGCACCCAATTGAAGTGCCAAAGCATGTTGTGATATTTCAAAAAAAAAAATGACATTTTTTTATCAAAACCTTAGAAAGGAGGTCAAGCTAAAGCCAACCCATCCATTTGAACGCTGGTCAAAGAGCTGTAACTCTGAAAACGTTAAAAGAGTCATTGATTCCTTTGATATTCTTTGAACTCACGTTTATAACTTGATTCAATTGCGAATAATATTTTACAACATTTTTATCGTTTTCTCTCCTGAAACAAGAAAAATAAGAAAAACATTTTCAAACAGAACAATCTCAGATATGAAATGTCTGTAAAGCCCAAGCTCGAGAGGCAAATGGGGCACGATCGATTCCATGGACCAGATTGGCAGACAAAGCACGAAGAGATAACACATAATTCATTCATGTTGCATGCATCTTAGACATAATTAGGTGCATCACATTCCTCATTTTAGCATACATGATTTTTGCAGCTTTTAGAGTCAAGGATACTTGATTCGTAAGCACCTTTAAAGAACGATGGTGGTTGCTTAGCTCGGCAGCAAGAAGCTACCGATTGAAAATTTTTTCTCGAACTCACAATTTGCTTGAGAGTAAATTTCAATTTCTCAATGAAGGATCTTGAATCCAAGACAACACAAGCTCAACTTCATGACGAAGGGGCGGTTGATTGTCAACAAACACTTCCCAATTTCAGAGCCAATTTCAACTTCACATCGAAGGATATTGGACTCCAGACAACGTATGTTCAACTTCACGACGAAGGGACCGCTGGTTGTCAACAAATTTTCCCGATTTCAGAGCCAATTTCAACTTCACAACGAAGGGTATTGGACTCCAGACAACGCAAGTTCAACTTCACGACGAAGGGACCGCTGCTTGTCAACAATAATTTCAGAATTTCAGAGCCAATTTCAACTTCACAGCGAAGGATATTGGACTCCTGACAACGCAAGTTCAACTTCACGACGAAGGGACCGCTGGTTGTCAATAAAAAAATTCCCAATTTTAGAGCCAATTTCAACTTCACAGCGAAGGATATTGGACTCCAGACAACGCAAGTTCAACTTCACGACGAAGGGACCGCTGGTTGTCAACAAACATTTCTCAATTTCAGAGCCAATTTCAACTTCACAGCGAAGGATATTGGACTCAAGACAACGCAAGTTCAACTTCACGACGAAGGGACCGCTGGTTGTCAATAAAAAAATTCCCAATTTCAGAGCCAATTTCAACTTCACAGCGAAGGATATTGGACTCCAGACAACGCAAGTTCAACTTCACGACGAAGGGACCGCTGGTTGTCAATAAACAACTTCCCAATTTCAACTTCGCAACGAAGGATATTGGACTCCAGACAACGCAAGTTCAACTTCACGACGAAGGGACCGCTGGTTGTCAATAAACAATTTTCCAATTCTAGAGTCAATTTCAACTTCACAACGAATGATATTAGACTCAAGACAACACAAGTTCAACTTCACAACGAAGGGACGATTGGTTGTCAACAAACAATTTCCCGGTTCCAGAGCCAATTTCAACTTCACGACGGAGGATATTGGACTTGGAACAATGCTACTTACTTGGATTTCAACTTCACGACGAAGGATATCCAATTCCAGACTCAACTTCACGACGAAGGGGTCACCAACGGTTTCAACTTCACAACGAAGGGAATCGTGCACACAAGCAACATCCATCTTCAGATTGGATTTTAACTTCACGGTGAAGGATATTCAACTCAAAGAAGGAGTGTCTGTCAACACACTTTCCAGTTTCAGAGTCAATTTCAACTTCGCAGCGAATGATATTAGCCTCGAAACAACGCAACTTACATTGGATTTCAACTCCACGACGAAGGATATCCCATTCTCAGGCTCAACTTCACGACAAAGGGGCCATATACATATACAACTTCACAACGAAGGGTATCATACCCTAATAGGTTGACCTTACTTCACAACGAATGAGTCATCTGTAACACATCAACACCAAAGTCTTCAGGTCAAGTTCCACCTTCACGACGAAGTATCTTGAGCCAGAAGACGATCCAGGAGTCACTTGCCAAAAGCTTTGAGTTTGATTTCAACTTCACAACGAAGGATATCGTACTCAGAAGTTTCCAGTTCAACTCGACCTCACGACGAGGGAGTCATTTTGTGATTCAATTTAAATTAACAGATCAGTCATTGCATCGGATTTCAACTCTACGGCAGAAGACGTTCGATATGGACAAAATTTGTGTCTTTTTATCTTTGTCCTATTTTTCGTTCCACGAAAAAGGACAAAGAGGGGCAGCTGTAGACACTAATTTTTTGCCCAACAATACTATCCTCGTATTTCTCGGTAACAAGAATAACAACCAAGTCAAAATACTAAATCAAGGCATTTGAGTCCAAGTGGGACTCTAAAACTGAATAAAGGAGCGTTTCAGTTTGAATAGGACTCTACAAATCTATCTAAAAATAGCCAGTTTCATGGCTATAAATTGAGGCAAAAATAAGGAAGAAAAAAAAGAACCAGAGTGTGCGAGAGAGATCCATTAGCAGAAGATGAAGATTTTCGTCAAGACTCTCAAGGGCACTCACTTCGATATCGAAGTCAAATCCGAAGATTCGGTAGCTGACGTAAAAAAGAACATAGAAACAGTTCAAGGATCAGATGTTTATCCTGCTTCACAACAAATGCTTATCCATAAGGGGAAAGTTCTTAAAGATGATACGACATTGGCTGAGAACAGTGTTGCTGAAAATAGCTTTATTGTCATCATGTTGACAAAGGCTCCTCAGACAAGTACACCATCATCGGCACCAGCTCCATCCCTCCGGCTCCAGCAACAGTTTCTTCTACACCTGTTGAGACTTCAGCAGTTGCTGCACCTGTATCTGAATCTGCACCTCTGGCATCAAATACCACTGCGTCAGAAACTGATGTTTATGGCCAAGCATCTTCTGATCTGTTAGCAGGAAACAACTTGGAGGGAGCAATCCAACAAATTCTTGACATGGGTGGAGGAACCTGGGATAGGGATACCGTTGTCCGGGCCCTTCGAGCAGCTTATAACAACCCTTATATATATATATTTAATTAAATTTTTATAAATTTTCAATAATTTTCTACTTTCTTTGTTTTATTTATTTTCATTTTTCTTCATCTAACATGCTTTTTGGCTTCTTAAGGGTACACTTTTAAATCTATCGGAGGTAAGTAATTTGAATCGGGTCTTTTAAATTTTAATTTAAGTTTCCAATTTTCGCAATTAAAAACAACCGACAAACTAATTGGTACCGAAAGGGCGGTTCAAGGGTGCTAATCCTTCCTTGACCGTAACCGACTCCCGAACCCGACACGTTTCTGGTACGTCGCAGATCAGGTAAGATGGTGTCCGGCCCACCTAAATTCGTTTTAAAGTGGTCGGTGGCGACTCTAACCCAATCAATTCTAGTCGAAGCCCAATTCCGGGCCCGACCGAAAGACGGTTGCGACAGATAGCAATTACATATTTCATAAAGTTTGCATAGCAAGGGAAGATGAGAACACCATCGCCTGATAGTCCAAACTCTTCCTCTGCCAAGTTGAATAGCTCCATCACAATTTTATTTAGATATCCCAAAGGAAGCACAAAGCACTTCTGATCCACACTGTATACAACAAAGTGACCCTTTTCGACCGCCGATGATGTGCAGCAACTGTTTGTTTCTGCATCCATGGTGGTTCTTGATCATGTGATTCTTTCTCTTGATTGAAGCCATTTTTCGCCATTTTCTTGCTAACTTGATAATCTTCTTGGGACTGATCATCTTGCTTTACTTAGTTTAGTCGAAAAGATTAAGATTAAAGGAAAAAAAGAGAGGAAATTTTTAGGCCTTAGAACTCTGATCGCTGGATGCGGCTGTTGTGCTTGATATGAGGCAATGGAACTGTGATTAATATATAATCACAAGGCAAGACACAGCCCCGTTGATCTGTGGTGTAGATATGAAAAGGGCACGAGATGGCATTTCTGATCTGTGGTGTAGATGTCAAAATAACCTTTTTGAGTCTCCGTCCTTGTGGGTCTCGTTGTTGGTTCAGATAGTATGGTTCAATCTTTGGACTAATTATATTTTTGCCATTCGCTTACAAGTTCCTCTGAATCCTGAACAAATATCCAAATTTCATAAAATAAGATCAGTTAATCGTTCTTTTCTGGATCATATTTTGTTCCGTTTTCTGGATCTTTATGTACACTTGTTTAACATAATACAACTGCCTTGAAATAGGAAGACTATGTACAACACATGGAAGACCCATCCATTTTCATGGGATTCACTATATATTATATGGACGATGCTTTGCAATTGGTCAGATCAGAAATTTGATTTTTCCCTATGTCCCAAGTTTCTACTGTCCCTGATGGCATGAATCCCAACATCAAAAGAAGAAAAGAAATGCGTCAGTATCAAGAAAACGTGAAAATAAAAAAATAACACTACACTGGCGTTGCCCGGGCTCAAATCAGATACATTCGGTGTTTTAGACTGTCGTGATAATCAACTACACCACGACACCAATGAATTCTACATTTTGAAAAGTTTTATTTAATCAAACAGACAGGTGCGAAAAAATTCGAAGTTAGTATTTGAAATAATATTTTGTTCAAAATAGTTGGTTATATAAGTTAATGAAGTCCACTGCATATTTATTAGTCCACGAACAAGTACTGTCTGTTAATGTGCTTAAGTATAGGTAGGAATGGACTGCAATAAGCGGGTTCCTGAGTATTAATCCCATCACCCGGTAGTCTGAACTCTTCAGATGTCTTCAACAGCTCAAAGAAACTGCGGTAGCCGAGAAAAGCCAAGGGGATCACAAGACGTCTCTCGTCAATTGTGTATCTTTTTTTGTAATTCCTATGGCTGCCATCTTCTGCCACTTTCTTGCCATGTGTTCCAGTGGTAAGTGATTGCCGAGGGAAAGAAGTCGGTCTTATATTTATACAGGAAGAACCAAATGTCCTTGCCAATTGCCATGCTGCTGTGAATTTCAAAGCTCAAGCACGTAATTTCTTTGTTTGGAGGAATCTACCTTTGCAATTTGCAAGAGATTCTTTCGAGGCTAGTTAAGATCAATAAGGGAATTCCAAAGAGTAAATTTGGAGGATATATAAAGAAATTACTCCTACGTTCAGACTCTTTATTGTTCTTGAAGCATTCGTGTTCGATATTTATGTGCAACACATATTCGAACATGAACACAGAACCATCCATATCCATGGAAAAAAATGAATTTATATCCTCATGTCGGATGTAAACTGCAATGCTATTATACTTCATATTACACTTGTAGGTGTCTTTTACAGTGAAAGACGGACTTATGATTTTATGTTAGCAGTAAACTTATAAAATTTTAAGGGGCAAAAAGAGATTATCAATAGAAAATACAAAGAAAATATATAAATTTGAAATTTTGAGAGGAGTGACCACCCCGCCAGCCCCTAGATTCATCCCCACTTGCAGCATCAGTAAGTGACAGTAACAAGGATCATCTTATGTCCTGCAGCATGCTTAATCTTTGTAACAAATGCCTTCATTTGAATATGAGAGACGGGAATGATTATGCAACATAATCGAAAAACCTCGAACAAAAAGGTCTTACAGGTAAAGACATGGAAAGACGAGCAAGAAGATTTGGCACAAATTGTGATAATAAGACGTTTTCAAGCAAAATGGCCAGACACCAGTTAAAGCAGGCTCATGTGAGAAATCGGAATTATCTTGGATCTTTTTGCATACCTTTCAATCTGTCTTACAGCTATTGTATAAAGCAGGAAATGAATCAATATGAAAAGATTTGAAGTGCTTATATACCTTTCAATAATGTGACCAATAAACCAAAACGAATAATGTTACACAAGTTGGTAAATATTGACTCAGTATCATTGTTCTAAGACCTTGTGAGGCTAGGGACTTGTGTGAGAGAAGTCCTTTAGACTCCCCAAAGGGGAAAAGAGAAGAAAAAGAGCGCATCAGATCAGTGTCCGGAAAACGTGAAAAGGGAAAGTAAAAATAGCGTCACCCGGACTTGAACCAACTACACCACGACATCTTTGGTTTCCTTTAGAAGAAATAGTTGCCTAACACAATAAAAAAAAGGAATGTGAAAATGTCATGTCTATCCTTGATGGAAAGATGTGCAAAGCCCTTGGAGAAATTGAACTAAGAAGAGTTTTTCCAAGCGTCTATTTAATCCTTCTTGAATCACGAAGACTATGTATTCAACAAGGCTGAATCGCAGGGCAACACTATTGGACCACAACTTGAACTAAGAGTTCAACAGATATGTTGTTGCCGAGATATGACAAGGGTGCGAGACAGCGTTTCTGATCTGTAGTGTAGATGGCAAAATAAACCTTTTGAGCCACCGATGGTTCGTCAACGTCAACTGATATAGATTTTGCATTAGACGTGGTTGGTCAAGGACCATGAATTCTGTACTATCTAGCTCCATTGCGTATCTATGTGCTTAACATTATCATTATCACAGATTAAATCATATAAAACCTCTAAAGATGTAATAACTGATGCAAGACAAATGTCATGACATTGAAAGAGCTGCTGCTGCTCCGGGCCTCATTTTAGGACAGAACTTGATATTTTGGGTGTGTTATAAAGCAGAAGGAAGATAACTTCCTGACAGAGAAAAGCAAGTTCTGAAAATGAAACATCTTTGTTCAGAATCATTTTATAACATCATCATACTGTTTTAGTGATGAGATATGAAGCTCTACTGTTTTACTATATAAATGCGAGCACCAATGTACTTGTTGATGACATGAGAAAAATCATGTAACCAATAAACCGAAACTCATAATGTTACGCAAATTGGTATGAATAATGACACAGTATTATAGTTCTAAGATCTTGCGAGGGCTAAGTACTTGTGAGATAGAACTCTTCCCCAAAGGTGAAGAGGTCTACTGTTGATCTTGTTTGTACCTACCTTGTGGATCTCGCTGCTGCTTCAGATTGTTGGTTCAATCTCTGGACTAATTATATTATTCCCGTTAACTTACAAGTTCCTCTGAATCCTGAACAAATATCCAAATTCCATAAACTAAATTAAGTTAATACATTCCTGTGCTGCTGGATCATATTTTGTTTCATTTCCTGGATCTTCCTCCACACTTATTTAACATGATATAACTGCTCTGGAATAGGTAGCCTATGTCCAAAAAATGGAAGTCTGTGCCGATTGCATGAGATTTACACAAAATATATTACATGGTTGATGTTTTGCAATGGATTCAGAGCAGAAATATGTTTTTCCCTACGTTCCGAAGTTTGTAGTTTCTACTGTCCCTGATGGAATGAATCCCAGCATCAAAAGAAGAAGAAAAATAGTGCATCAGTATCCAGAAAACGTGAAAATGAAAAAAGGAACATTAAAATGGCGTCGCCCGGACTTGAATCGAAGTCCTTTAGTGAAGTCCTTTCGTGTGTTAGACTAGATAACCAGCTACACCACGACACCGTTGGATACAAAGATTCGAAATACCTTATCTAACCCTAGTAAAAACACTTGAAAAAAAGAGAGTAAATATAGCATCGCCCGGACCTATCTTTTATGTCAATCTAAGCTTGAGATAGGAGAACTCAAACATGAATTCGAATTGTTTGAAGCATGCTTAACCTGTGTAACAAATGCCTTCATCTGAATATGAAAGACTGGAATGATTATCTACAATTTGATCGCAAAACCTCAAACAAAAAGGTCTTACAGATAAGACATGGAAAAATGAGCAAGAAGATTTGGCATTAATGGTGATAATTAGACATTTTCAAGCAAAATGGCTAAACAACAGTTAAAGTAGGCTTATGTGAGAAACCGGCAACTCCCGAATTATCTTCGGTCTTCGTGCATACCTTTCAATTTGTTATACAGCCATTGATATAGTTTTCAGGTTTCAAAGCATGGAGTGAATCGATAAGAAAAGATTTGAAGTGCTTGTATTGTTGGGTGTTCTCCCACTATGTTGGGAAAACCATCACCCATGAACCCATAAAATAATATGGGTGTTGTGTTTGTACTTTTTTTTCTTGTTTTGGTTATGCTTTCTCTGCGACCTTTTTAAAGTATTTTTGACTTTGGTAAAAAGCCAACTTTTGGCTTATGTGTGGGCAACATAAAAAAATAACAAAAATTAGATTTGATTTTTTAGAGAGTGAAGCTTCATAAGAGAGAGTGGAGAAATACATATTTTTCAAGTTTGGTGCAGCAGTGATCAACTCTTTAATGGGAGGTCCATTCGTAGTTCGATTGAGTTGATTTTTGGATAACAACTAGGAAATTTGGTGTTCTTGAGCTTGTACAGTAGGATTTTACATCCGAGTCCTTTAGCGACGGAAAACATAATTTTTTAGCAACTACATTTTTGGTGATATTATCTCATTTTTCTCTCTTTTGCTAAAGATTACATGTTGTTAGCCTTGTTGGAGTTGAATGCTTGTTGTAGTCTTAATATTGTGATCTTGTAGTTGAACTTTTGATGATAGTGGAGCTTTTATCGGACTCTAAAGTCTCGTGGGTTTTACCCTTGATTTAGAGGGTTTTTTACGTAAAAATATCAGTGTCTCAATTTATTTGTGTTGTGGTTGCATTGGTTGATTTGAGGTTGCTAGAGAACATATTTTGTGCTACAGTTGTTCCCATAATTTTTGACAGGAGTTATAGGGAGAAAAATAACATCGATTGTGCTTCCCCTTATGTTTGGTTGTTCAGTTTCTTCCCCTACAAACTGGTATTAGAGCTTGGTTATTATGTCAGATAATTATAAAAATTAATACGAGCAAGATGATTATGTTGAATGGCACGAATTATCAACTTTGGTGGAATAAAATGAAAGAATTGTTGTTCGTGAAGGTTTTTGCATCTTTCGGTTTTTGTCACTCAAAAACCTAATTCGAAAAGTGATGAAGAATGGGAATTTGAGCATCAACAAGTGTGTGGCTTTATTTGACAATTAGTTAAAGAAAATGTTTACAACCACATAGATCAAGAGACACATGCTCGCACATTGTGGGATAAGCTTGAAAACTTGTATGCTTCGAGGTTGGGCAATAACAAGTTATTTTTGTTGAAGAAAATGATGGCGTTGAAATATAAAGAAGGAACGTTTACAACTGACCATGTTAGTGAATTTCAGAGTGTGATGAATCAGTTGCTTGGTATGGGTATCCAATTTGATGATGAGATTTTAGGGCTTTGGTTGCTTCTTACTCTACCAGACTCTTGGGAGAGTTTTTGGGTCTCAATCAATAATTTTGCTCCACATGGTATTATTACTTTGGATTTGGCTAAAATTGATGTATTGAATGAAGAGGATAGAAGAAAATCTCAAGGTTCTATATAACAGTTTGATGTGATGGTTACCAAGAATAAGGGAGAAACAGAGATAAAGATGGAAATGATAGAGATAAAAAGCCGAAGCAAGTCAAGATCGAGATACAAGAATCTTGAGTGTCTCATTATGGTAAGAAATATCATATCAAGAAATATTACTTCAAGTGGAAGAAAGAGAACAAAGGTGGTGGTGGTAAACACAACCAAAAGGATGATGAAAAATACGACCGTGTTGCTATAATTCATTGTGATGATCTGTTGGTTATTTGTGAGGAGAATTTGGTCAATCTAGCATACGACGAGACTAGTTGGGTGATTGATACTAGTGTTTTACTTTATGTTACGTTGAGGAAGGGTTTCTTCATATCTTATATTCTTGGTGGTTTTGGGGTATTAAAGATGGGTAATGATAGTTTGGTTCCGGTTATTGGCATGTGAAATGTTAGTTTGGTGAGTAATAATGGTACAAATTTAACTCTCAAAAGTGTCAGACATGCACGGGATATCCGTTTGAATTTGATTTCTGCAGGAAAGCTTGATGATGTGGGATTTTGTAATACCTTCAGTGAGGGGCAGTGGAAGCTGAATAAAGGCTCATTGGTTGTGGCTCAAGGAAAGAAGAGCTCAAATTTGTATTTGATGCAGGCTTCGAATTCTGGAGACACTGTGAATGTGATAGTGAATGACAGCTCAAATGAGTTGTGGCTTAAATGGCTTAGTCACATTAGTGAAAAGGAGCTTAATTGTTTAGCCAAGAAGAATCATCTTTCGGGTTTGAAGAATGCTACACTGAAGAATTGTGCTCATTTTCTAGCGGGGAAGTAGAGAAGAGTTTCTTTTAGAAGTCGTCATCCTCATAGAAGATCAGAGTTGCTAAAGTTGGTTTATTCAGATGTATGTGGTCTGATAAAGGTAAGGTCGCATGGAGGTGTACTTTATTTTGTGACTTTTATTGATGATTGTTCAAGAAAGTTGTGGATCTATACGTTGAAGTTGAAAGACCAAGTTTTTTAGGCGTTTAAACAGTTTCAAGCATCAGTTGAAAGAGAAACAGAGAAGAATTTGAAGTGCATTCGTACTGATAATAGTGGTGAGTATGCAGGGCCATTTCATGAGTATTGTATGCGACAGGGAATCAGACATTATAGGACACCACCGAAGACTCTACAATTAAATGGGTTTGCTGAAAGAATGAACCGAACATTGATTGAGAGAGTTAGATGTTTGTTGTCATAAGTAAATTTTCCATTGTCGTTTTGGGCTGAAGCTTTGAATATAGTGACCCATGTGATTAATCTGTCTTCTAGTGTTCCTTTACGAGGTGATGTACCAGATAGAGTTTGGTTTGGTAAAGAAGTGCCATATGATCACCTTCGTTTGTTCGGTTGTAAAGCATTTTTTCAAGTTCCAAAGGATGAAAGATCCAAGTTGGATTCTAATATTCGACAATACATATTTATTGGTTATGGTCTAGATGGTGAGTTTGGTTATAGACTCTATGATCAAGTTCAGAAGAAACTCGTGAGAAGTCGAGATGTTATCTTCATTGAGGATCAGACCATTGATGACATTGATAAGACAAAGAAAGTGGATTCACTAGATAGTGGTGACTTGATCAATGTGATTCTAGTTCCCCTAGACCCTTCACCAGATCCTATTCAAGATTATGTGCACAGTGATGTTCAAGGTGATGTGCTTGGTGATGTTCATGATGACCAGCAAGATATAGGTGGCTTTGATTCTCTCATTGATGTTGTTGTGAATGATCAACAACAAGCACATATAGCTCCATCAGCAGTTCCACTTTGGAGGTCTTCTAGAGATCGATGATCTTTTGCCAGGTATTCTTCTGATGAGTATGTTCTTGTGACTAACGGGGGAGAACTTGAATGTTATGAAGAGGATATGGATAGTGAATACAAAGATCAGTGGGTTTAAGCGATGAAAGATGAACTCCAATCCTTGCATGAAAACCATACCATTAAGTTAGTGAAACTGCCTAAGGGTAAAAGATCTTCAAAGAATCGATGGGTTTACAGGATAAAGAAAGAAGAAAAGTCTCCATCTCCACGATACAAAGCTAGATTGGTCGTCAAGGGTTACACTGAGAAAAAGAGGATTGATTTTAAAGAAATATTTTCTCCGGTTATGAAGATGTCCTCTATTATAACTATACTGAGTTTGGTAGCATGTTATGACTTGGAGGTTGAAAAAATGGATGTGAAAACTTCTTTTATTCATGGTGATTTGGAGGAAAAACTTTACATGGAGCAACTAGAGGGATTTGTTGCACAAGGGAAAGAAGACTACGTATGCATGTTGAAGAAGAACTTGTATAGTTTAAAGCAAGTTCCAAGGTGTTAGAGTATGCCCAAAGACCAATCATATGATGATTGTAATAATACTTTTATTTACTGATTTTATTGAATAAAGGCATTGCAGCTATTGTTTTCATTTTTATATATGTGTTTAACATAAACTGGAAGATAATAAAGTCCATATAATGACATAATTGTTATTATTAAAAGATCCCTAGTCAAATATTATTATGGGCATGGACAATAATAATACGCTTAAGACTAACATGTTATTGATTGATGACAATGAGTTTTCATTGACATAGAGATGTCAGAATTGATACATGATTATATTGTTAGAGAACAATGTATTGGATTGACCGACCATGAGCATTTGTCTTGGATTATTATGTGACAGTCATAACATTGCTCATGGTGATGACTATATGTATGATCCTCAGACTTGTGATCAATACTATCCCAACATATATTATTGTATGTTTTGATGTAGCTAAACAAGCTCCGTAACTGGTTGCTCTATAAAGACTGTTATTGAATATATCTCAATATATGTAGTGGGTGTGCATGATTAATATAGGATTTGTCCTTCATACATAATAGGAAATATATCACAGGCCACTTGATTGAGTAAGACTAGAAACACATGCCATGCTCGAATAAGTTGATATGAGATATCATAAACTATTCGTTAATTACAGTCTACTCTAGATATCAAAAAACAATAGATGGGCTATACAAGTGTGATTATTCCAAGATTTGTGCCTATTCTAGATATAAAGGACATAAGGATGTAATACATAAAAGAGTTAATCACCAAGATGATATGTCGAATCATATTTTCTTGTAACTTAGGTGACAATGATATATTGCTAGATGTCACTCATTGTATGTAATATTAGAATTGTTCTAATAATTAACTGCTAACGTTACAAGAACCTACAAGGTCACACCCTAGGATTGAAACGAGCAAAGATGTACGATTTGTTGTACGTTACTAAAATATATATCTAGAGTTAATTAAATATATATTTTAATAATCCCAAATATTTAATTTTAATTAATTAAATATAGATTTAATTAATTTGAAATAATAAAATCACTAATATGATTAGGGTAACTTGGATATAAAAGGATTATTCAATTCTAATTAATTAAATATAGATTTAATTAATTTGAAATAATAAAACCCTAATATGATTAGGGTAACTTGGCTATAAAAGGGTGTGTTAGGTCTAGCAGCCGTTTGAGAACACACACACAAAACCTTCAGTCGTTTTTCTCTCAAAACTGTTTTGGGGAAGAAAAATATTACTCTTAATCGGGTGAACTGAGTAGAGGCCGAGACGTGATTTGGTGGAGGCTTACGATTCGAACCGATCTACACCACCAGTATTCATTGTTGTCCTTGTTGTTTTTCAAGGAACCCGCTGTAAGTATTCACATCCCTTCCTCCCGATTTTAGTTTTTCGTACTTGGATCGCTGGTGAGACCGTCGATTTTTGTTTTCGCTGCGCCATGGGGTACGTCGACGGTCCAAACACAAGGCAATGGTACAAGAAGTTTGAGTCTGTTATGGGGGAGCAAGACTACAAGAAGACTATGTTAAGAGATTATCGAGTGATGATTTCATTATCTTTTTGCTCTATGCTGATGATATGCTTATTGTTGGTCGTAATGCTTCTAGAATTGAGAAGTTAAAGAAGGAGTTGAGTAAATCTTTTGCAATGAAGGATTTAGAGACGACAAAGCAAATTCTTGGCATAAGATTTACACGTGATAGAAACGCCAAGAAATTATGGTTATCACAAAAGAGGTACATTGAGAATGTACTTAAAAGATTCAGTATGGACAAAGCTAAAGCGGTGAATACTTCATGTGCTACGCACTTTAGATTGAGTGTTAAGCATAGTCATTCCAAAGAAAAGGAGAAGGAATAGATGCAGAAAGT